CGCCACCCCCCACCCCACCTACCCCGGCCCAACTCTGATCTCCAAGTGAAATTCTACCCCCTTCCTGATAAGGATCAGCCAAAGGATTTCCTGGGTCAAGAAACTACAGAAACCATTGGCCTTGTTAGAAAATGGTTTTGGCATGAAATGAAAATAGTTCAGGCCTCTCCACCACCATAATTAGGTACAAATTTCCAAATGACTAGACCATGTGATTTTACTTAATTCCCCCCACCACCTCCCTCTTTTCAGAGTAGTTTGCAGAGAGGAAAAAAAAATCTTCATTTCACTTAAAATTCTTCCAATTCTCCTGCCTTCAGTTACTCTTTTTGACAAGTTCATCTTAGGCCTTCTTTTTTAATGCAGTCAATAAGAAGTTTTCCCATAAAAGTATTTTCCTAGTTAATTCTCACGTTGGAGTTCCAGGCTTAATTTTTCAAGTGTTAATTTTGAAAGGGGCGCCGCAAACATGTGGACTCTAGGAAGGGGCTCTCTAGCCCTCAGGAGCAGGGCATGCACCCAACAGCACTGCCAGTCCCCCCCGCACGGCCTGCCTGATCAACCCGGGTCCCTTTAACCCTTGCCGACCCGGGGGGCAACTCTGCAACTGACACTCCTGCGTCTCAAAACTCTGCGTTTACAAATAAACTGTTTTCTGAAGTGGCTCGGCTCCAGGTCCTGAGGGTGAGCCCCCAAAATAGCCCCCAAGCAGAATGTGTCCAATGCACTCCTTTTTATTGGGTCCTGAAAAGAGAAAAGGACCGGCCTCCTGCAGCCACGAAGGCCCTGCCGCAAGAACGCAGCACCAGCTCTCAACGATTACAAAGAGGCCCTGACCCGGGGGGCATGGCTATTCCTGCTCGCCTGCCCTCGGGGCCTCTGTATGCGGACAGCCAGCCCGGCGCGCGGGCCAGGGCTCTGAGCCCAGGACCTGGGCCGGCTCCCGCCGCTCCTCCGGGCCCGAGGGCAGGCGCGGGGCCGGCACACCTGGCGGGGACGCCGGCGCCCCCTATTCGGTTGAACTTTCTGTGACACACGCGGCATTTTCCTTAAATACGAAAACAATCCCTGGGCGAGTGAGCGAGCAGCCCTCGGCTGCCGCTGGGAGAGAAAGTGGCGATTGGAAGAGAAACTCCTGACTCATCCGCCTGGGCGTTTATGGCCGGGGATTGGATTCTGACCTTTCGGTGCGCTCCTGCGCGGCGCACCGCCCGGCCCGAGGTGGGAGGCGGCGCGGGGCGCACGCATAGACTCCCCGCCCGTCCGCGCCCTCCCCGCGCGCCAAGGGAAGGGGCGCGATTTACCTACGGAGTCTATCTCCAGGAGTCGCTGGAGGTCCCGGATGCTGTGGATCTGACTGCGAGCCAGCCTCTCAATCACCTCGCGGGGGATCTCGGCTTCCTGCAAGCAGAGGCCACAAGGTCAGCGCCCGCGGCCCCGGCCGCGCAGGCTCGCGCCCCTGGCCGCCGAGAGCGCCTCTTCCCCAGGCTCGAGGTGACCCGGTGAGCATCTGCCGCAGCCCCCGCCCCGGGCCACGCGGACCTCCCGCCGGGGACCTGGAGCCGGAGACCAGGGGTGGAGCTGGATGAGACCCCAAATTCTCCGCCTCCATCCTTGTCTGCTGTTTGCAAAAATAAAGTCCCCTCCCACCTTTAAATTTTCAAACAATAGCTCCCGTACTCCGGCCCCACCGCCCGGGGTGTCAGTTACTGGAGGTCTGTGGGCAGCGAGGGGGCCGGGGAGTTCCTGATTTAATAGTGAAATCAACATCTAGAAAGATCAAGTTGAAATGCGTCACGGATCGACGACGAAAGTCACGGCAGCCCTAACAGTTTAATCTAGCTAAAGGCTTAAATTTCACGCCCCGGAATCCCGGGCCGAACCCGCGGAGGAGAGGTTTCTCGTCTCACAAACACACGCACGCGTGCGCGCGCGCGCTCACACACACACACACACACACACACACACACAACACACACTCGCCCCACCCCGGGCTCCGGCCCAGCCGCGGCCCTAGCGCCGACTAAGACGCCCAAATCTAGCCGGCAGCCGGGAGAGGCTGCCAGGGAAAGAGAGGGTTAACTATCCACCTCTCACAGCTCTCAGGTCCCTGCCCAGACCACCCTCACCACTTGGCCTCCCCAACTCTCCTTCCTGATTTTTAAAAGGAGTCGGGGGTCGCTGGGGGGGGACTCAAACACTAAGTTCCCACGACGGGGGCTGTAGAAAGTCATTCATCACTACAAAGCTCCCGGGGATTTGGGATTCAGGGGGGTGGGGACGCCGCGGTGGGAGGGCGCGGGCGCCTGGCCCGGCCCCAGCTCGCCTAGCTCAGCCACCTGTAAGCAGGCCCCGGGCAAGCGGGGCTGCGCCGGCCCTGCGCCCCGCCGGGCTTGGGGACCGAGAACCGGGGGCTGCGGCTCGTCGCTGCCCGTTGTGCCCGGCCGGGGTCTTCCGCCGCAACCGCCTCTACCTGTTTATCGGCCGCCTTTCTCCCCTCTCCGGGCTCTGCCAGCTCACACACACCCCCTTCCACGCACCCCGTTACTGCATTGCCTGCCGCGCCCCAGCTGCCCCTCCCTGGAGAGACGCCCGTGCCCCCCGAAGTTTCTCCCCACTCGTCCACCTCGCCGCTCCCTCGTCCCTCCCAGGCAGAGCGACGCAACACGCTGGAAACTCACCAGACACACTTAGGCATGGCAAAAAATAGAACCCAGTTGGGAAAATTTTTAAATGAACTACCCCAGCAGAAATCAAAATGCTCTCTGCAGAACCTGGGGCGCCCCGGCCCGCGGGTGGCTGCGGAGGGCGTGCGCCGGGGTAGCCGGAGAGGGGACGGGGCACGGGGGCGGCACCCACCTCAGCCAGGGCATGGGCGAGGTATCCGCAGCCGAGGAGCAGCAGGCAAGCCCAAGTCCTCATCGCGTCCAGAGGCGCTGGCGGCTCGGCGGGGAGGCGAGGCCGCGGGGCGGGCGCTCCAGCCGGGCTCCTGTGGCGGCGAAATTCAGTACCATCCCTCAGGGAGCGCGGCCCGGAGGAGGGTGGCGCGGAGAGCAGGGAGCCGGCGGAGCGCGCCTGGCGCGAGCAGTGTGTGCGGAGAGGCAGGCAGCGCCAGCGAGGAGGAGGAGGAACAGGCTGCTGTACCGTACACCCG